TGTTCAGACCTTACTAGGCATCTTAGAATTCATAGTTCATAGTAGAGAAAACTCTATGAATGTAATTAATATGGTAAGACCTTTAAAGGTAGTTCAGATTAGTTCAGATCTTATTAAACATCATCAAATTCATACTGGAGAGAAACTCTATGAATGTAATAAGTGTGGGAGAGCCTTCAGTGGGCATACAGCTCATCTGAAGCATCAGAAACTTCATAACAGGAAGAGACTAAATGAATGTAAGGACTTAACTTAGTGGATAGCAGAATGCCTATAATATAGAGCAGGGATTGGCAAAGTATGGCCAGAGGGTCAAGAACAGTCCATTCCTGTTTTTATGGCCAGGGAGCTAAATTAAAAAAAAAAAATTCTCAGTTCACTGGCCCTATAGAAACAGGCAATGGGGCAGATTTGACCCTCTGGACATAGTTTGCTGACCCCTATACAGAAAATCCTTATGAATTAACAAATGTTGAAAAATCTTGGAGGAGTTCAGACCTTATTGCATTTTATATAATGCCTACTGCAGAGGAGCCCATTAATGTACTGAAACTGAGAAGCCCTTCAGGATGAGAACAGACCATATTGGGCATGAAAGAATTCATACTTGTTAGAAATTTATTAATGTTGTAAGTGTTAAAAAGTTTAGTTCAGCTCTTTCCCTTCTCTCAAGATGGAGGACAAAAAACTCCTGAAGGAACCAAAGGAAAAGAAGGTCTGAAAGGAAAAAAAAGGAGAAAAACAAGAAAGAAGATGTGGCTGAAAAGGTGGTGAAAAAGCCTCGAAAGCACTGCAACTGATTTAAAGTTAAACCAACTCCCCACAAGGACAGAGGAGGTAAAAGGGAAAATATTCCTTCAGGCGTTGGGACGAAATGCTTTGTAACTTCTGTTCTTACCATATATCCTCAGTAAATACCTTTTATAAAAGCTAACTGTTCATTTTTAAAAAAAAAATTTAATGGCATTTTTTCCAATTAAACGTAAAGACAATTTTTTAGCATTCATTTTTTGAAAGATTTTGTGTCCCAAATTTTTCTCCCTCCCTCCCTATGGTCCTCTTTCCCCAAGACAGCAAACAATCTGATATAGATTATACATGTGCAGTCATGTAAAACATATTTCCACATTCATGTTGTGAAGGAAACAGAACAAAAAGGAAAAACCACAATGTGTTTTCCAGGTCAGTTGTTTTTTATATTGGATATTATAGGTTTTCTTGTATTTTTTCGATCTTTTGATTTTGTTCAAATATTTCTTACATTCTCATGGAGTTGTTGATTTCTGTTTGGTTTATTCTAGTTTTCAAAGATTCCATTTGGATAAGATTTACCACTTTCTCTTCTAAGTTATTTTATTTTCAATTCTTTCCTCCAGAGCTTTTGCTTTTTTTTTTTAATATCTTGCTTTATTTCTTCTAAGTATTCATATAATTCTTGTGGAAAAATCCTCTTAGTTCCTTTGAATCTTTGCTTGAAATTTTATAAAGTAATATTTGCAATAATTTTTTATATAGGATATTGTTTTCTTTGGTTTACTCCTCTCTCTAGCTTTAGTTCCTCAATTAGGGCTTTATGCCAGAGCTGGGTTCCATCCCATACTGTACTTTTGAGTAGTATAGTTAGCCCTTCTCCTGGATCCTCTGGGGTTCCTATGCTAACCTGCACTTCCTAATGTTCACCCCTGCTGGATCTTTGAGGTTCAGAGTGCTGGATCTTCAGGGCCTCCTCTGGAGTCTCAGGAGAGAGTGTTAGGGACAGTAGTGACTTAGAACCAGTTTATTATACAGGCTCTAGAGAATCAATTGTTAAATTTTCACCTCTGAAATCAGCAAATGCTACACATCAGGGCTTGACTCATTGTTTTGTTGATTTATAGACTCAAGAAAGTGATGGAGAAAATGTCAATAATTCATAGTAAATTTAATTGAATAATGTATGTACATTTTTTTCAGAGAGCAAGTTGTTAAATATTTATCAGCACACTCCTGGTTAGGGGCCTCAGGCCTCCTGTGCCTGAGGTGTCCCGGTGTGAGCACTGTGACACTGCTCCAGTTGATACTTTGCTGCTCCTCAGCTATGGAGATATCCATCCTGGATATTTGACTTTCTCAGGAGAATCAGCCATTCCTTTTGCTCCTGGACACAGAATATTGCAGGCTACAGTTATTTTTTCTATTTGCAATGGAAGGTTACACTGTGCTGATGATGGCTTGGCTAACAGCTCCTCCCTTCCTCTCAAAACTGCCCTTCCTGACTTTTTGTCCAATTCTGAAGTGGAAGAAATCACTTCACTATAGTTTTATACTGGATTTCCTGATCATCATTTGTTCTGATGTGAACTTCAAGATTTTTGTCACGGTGTCAGTACTGTTAACAGGATTTTACTGAGCCAGTCTCTAACGTGGGAATTCTTGGAGCTGAACTAAGCATGCCTAGAGACAGGAGTGCCAATAATCAAGTAGCAGTTTAATTAATGTTTCATTATGAGGAACAGATTTGCAAATTGGGAATTCCCCTAATCAGATTTCCACCTTGCTGTAATGAAGGCATAGGTTATATACATAAATCACAAGCCGGAAGGAAGGGGAGAAGGTGGATTACAATCATTTCCCAGGGCCTGAGTGGTTTCCCATGAAAAACCCACAAGTCCACAATACAGGTATTCTGGAGTCCTGTGGGAACAGTATTGTTGCAGGTCCTTGGGGGTCGCTACTTGGTGGGTCACAGGACCAGAGTTCTGTGATGGGAACAGGTTCCACAATCTTTGATTCAATTCACTTAAGGTATATAGGCACAAGAATGCAGTGATTATGAGAGTGTTGTCAAGGGTTTCATTGATCAAGATGCACTGTAAGCCAGAAGAGGCAATTCTGAAAAATCTAAATAATTAGTATATTCATTACACATATCATGTTGATTAATATGAAAATCCTAATTTCCTTCACAGTAGATATACGGAAATTGAGCAGCCTATCTCCTGTTCAGGTGGCCAACTTGGCAGGAAGTCTGTGTTTTTTTAATTAGATTTGCAAACTACCTGACAAATATATTCTTACTAGACTTTGTTAGATGTACTCCATTTCTGGCCAAGAATGTGTTATCCCTATATTGTAAGCTGTAATCTAAAATCCAAACCCCATTCTCAGATACCACTTATCCAGCTGTTTATTTCCCAAATTGCTTTTTCTCTATGTCTCCCTTGCCTTTGTAAGGGTGGGGATTGAAACTGTCCTATTTGTTTCTAATGACCTGACTAAGTGAAAACACTTTTTGACTGAAGCAAATAATCAGAACTATGTGAAAAGGGCCTGTGCAACCCCTTAAATCAATGCAGTCATTGGGTATAGACTGGGTCATGCCCTTAGAAATTTGTATAAAAAAAGGAATTGATTTCTGAATCTAGGAAAGAAGAGATTCTGAATATTTGAATTAGGTTGGAACAAGCATGAAGCAAAGGGAGAAGAGAGCTGTGGCAGAGAAGGGAAATAACCAGGAGAGTTATTGGTTATATAGGCATCTCAAAGAGGAAGACCCACACTGAGGAAGGTCCCAAGAAAAGGTTCCACCAGTCTGGAAAAGTAAGAGGGGACCAAGCTGTGAAGGGCTTTAAAGGATTTTATATTTGATTTATATCTGATTTGATAGGGAGCCACTGGAGTTCACTGAATAAAGGGGTGACATGGTCAATCTATGCTTTAGGAAGATTACATTAACAGCTGAGTAGACGATGAAGGAGAGAGGTGAGAGACTTGTGGTGGGAAGGGCAACCAGCAGGCTATTGTAGTAATCCAGGTGTAAGGTAATAAGGGACTGCACCAGGATGGTGGAAGTATAAGAGCAGAGAAGGGGGGCACATGCAGGAAATGTTAGGAAGGTAAAATTGACAGAACTTGACGATTAGGAGAGGGATGAGAGTGAGGTGTGGTTCTCATGAACCTGCATGACTGGGGGCATGATAATGCCCTTGACAGTAATAGGAAAGTTTGGCAGAGGGGAGGTTTTGCTGTTCTGCTGTTCCTTAAATGAGATACTCCATCTTCAAACTCTGAACATTTTCACTGACTATTCCCTATGCTTGAAATACTCTCCGTCCTCATCTCTGCCTCCTAGCTTCTCTGGCCTCCTCCAGGTACCAGCTAAAATCCCACCTTCTACAGGAAGCCTCTTCATTCTAACATCTTTCCTCTGTTGATTATTTCCAATTTATCCTGTACATCTTGTCTGTACTTAGTTGTTTACACGACCTTTCCTATTAGATGGTGAGCTCCTTGAGAGCTCCGACTGTCTTTTAGCTCTCTTCATATCCCAAGCACTTAGCTTAGTAGGCGTTTGATAAATGCTAATTGACTGAGATGAGTGGTATATTTCATCTTCAGTCCTCCAGACTCCTGTTTCTCATTACTACGCTTTGTTTTTCTGTCAACGTACCCGTACACTTATGGGTCTCATGTGTTTCTTTTGTGTGCAGGAAATAAATAGCTGTCCTATACCTGATCTTTGTACATCAAGTACTTTGCTACGACCCCTTTTGGAGAAACCCTGGCTTTGCGTCAAACTTAACCTTTATGTTATTTTCCCCAGGGTTCTTTGGGGGCGGGGGGGGAGCGGTGTAAAGAGCCCGAGAGTTTAAGAAAAATAGCCCCAGCCCTTTATTTAAAGGGCCAGCTCCCTCAAGCCCCAAGCCAGTCCGCCATCGTGTGTCCAGAAAGGGGTCCGTGGTTCTTACTGTGCACTGATATGTTGTCTTCTCTCCCCACGCCACGCCCCCAGCCCCGCCCCCACCCCCAAGGACACACTCCGGGCTTGGAGTAAATTGACTCGCCAAGTAGCCAATACACCGGAAGTCTGGTTCCTCCCGGACGCTCTAGGAAAGCCGGAGGACTCGGATGTCAGTGGTTCGCGGGAGGGGGCGGTAGTTAGCTGGGGGGATGGGGGAGGGGGAAGGAGACCGGTCCGGGCTGGTCAAGGAGGGCACCGGAAGTACCCGTTCCCATCTGGCCTGGTCTCGAGGGGCGGCGGTAATAGCGGCTTCAGTGGTTGGGGCGCGGGCGATGAGTGGGCAGGAGGCTGGTGGCAGCCTGGAGAAGGTGAGACCCTTTGTGTCTCCGCGGTCCAGAATGTAAAGGGTTGAACACCCCCCCCCTCCCCGCTTCCCCCCCAGCCCATGCACGCCTGTGCCCGGGCCGTGACAATGCAACCCCACGCTGGGCGTGTGGTCACCCCCGTGGTCGTACAGGGGATGCACATCCATCCTTCTCTCCATCCATTCATTCATCTCTCCATCCACAGCTTCCCCACGCCCTCCTCCATTGTCACACTTCACTTTCCACCCATCCTGGATAAGCACCTTCCCTCCCCATCCCCAGAGGCAGGATCCCCCTCGCCTAGGCCAGAAACACACCCCTGTGTCCCCAAACCTTCCCTCGGCCTTTTGGGAGCCCAGCAGACATTCAGACATCCCCTACCGCTCCTTAAGCACTGACCCTCCCTTTGTTTGCCTTTCTTCAACTTTTCCCTTCCCAACTTACTGAACCCACCCCACACACATAAACCCTTTGGTTACGTACACAAACATCCCATCTTATACACTCATTCTCTTTCATGGCCCCCACCCCCACCCCATAAGAAACTTATGTACTAGTCTTTTCTTCCACTCTCCATTTTCTGGTCCAGTGTGAGATGTGACGTGCTGAGCTTGAAGTCAGCAAGTACCTGGGTGCAAATCCTATTTTTTTTAGTTGTGTGGAGCTTGCAAACTGTGTGACTGCAGGCACTGTGAGACTCAGTTTTCTCATTTGTGAAATGGGGATAATGATACTTGCATAAAGTACCTCACAGGGTAAGGGAGCCTGAGTAAGATGTGTGTAAAACTTTGTAAATATTTAAGTTCTTTATGAATTTCAGTTCTTATTATATCCACACACACAAACCTTCTGGATCCCAGATCAACCTCTAATAACAGCATCCCTTTTCTTCCTGCCAATATATCACCATCTTGAATTAGATTAAAGCCCATTATGTCCTTTCTACTCCTCACTCTAATGGTACCAAAACTTTCTTCCAGGGCTTTCATCTTTGCTTATTTCCTCACAGCAGCAAAAATTCCTGCTTCAAGAGCCCAATACGATGAAGACAATGGCTATATTTCTTACCCAAGAGGAATCCAAGGGACTGGTCTTCCCAGAGGAGAATCTCTACAAGGATCAGATGCTGGAGAATGATGCAGACATGAGTCCGTTGGGTAAGTGCTCACTCCCCTGACCCGTAATTGGACTTTCAGACATCATTTTTAAAATTAAAGATAAAAACAAAGACCCTAAGATGAGGCTGGGAATTTGATCCATAAAGCGATCAGTTTAAGTTGGAATCAGGAACTATAGATTTCCAGGTCTCCATGAGGTACAGAAGCTGAACGTTGTGGATTCCTGTGCCAAGGTATCTGGTCTGGTGAATGAAAAATTGGGAAATGATGGAATCTCTATTCATTGAGTTCTTCCTTAGTCTGTACCTTCTCTTTCCTTAAAAGTCTTGAAAGAAAGGGCCTTCTTTCAGTGTTATGAGAAAGACTGATTCACTGCAAAGATTTGGCCTTTTCTGGAGTCTCTAGCTCAGTTTTTTGGGGGAGCCCTAGGGCAGGACTCTAATACTGGTTATCTTCAGCCTCTGAGAAAGATTCCTTCCATTAAAAGAATCATAAACTTTAGAGCTGGGAGAGCCCTCATAAGGCTGTCTAGTCTACCCTTCTTCATTTTACAGATGAAGAAACTGAGACCAAGAGAGAAGAAATGCCTTGCCCAAGGTACCACAAGCAATAAATAGCAGAACCAGTATTTGAACCCAGGTTCTCTGATTCCAAATCTGATATTTTTTCTATTACAATAATGTTTCCCTCTGTTACTTGTATACACTTGGAAGGGTTATGTTAATTCAAGTTTGGGAGATGCCTTATGCCCCAGTTGGTCACCATAGGTACCCTCATCTTGCCACTCTTGTCTATGTGTGTGTGATGATGAAGATGGGGGACTTGGCAATGCTGTATAATGAATTTTGCTTCATGGATCAAAAATTTCTGGATATGTGGAAATATACTGTGGTCAAAGGCCAAAACCTAATGGGACTTCTACAGAGGATTCTTTTCCCTCCACTCTCTTCCTTCTCTTATATTTTCCACTCCCCAATCTCCCTCTCTTACAGCAATCACTTTCTCTTACAGCAGCTGAGGTTCTGCATTGAACAGGTGGACTTTTTTCCGTCAATGTGCCATGGAAGTTATTCAAATCTACAAATGTAGGGTGGAATAAGAAAGCCAGTTCATATGAGTGCTCTCCATCTCTCCCAGATCTTGAACTCTTTCTAGATTGCAGCCTGACTCAGGCCACACCCCTGGTAGTTTAAGTTCAATATTGGAACAAAAGGAGATACTCATAGGTCGTTCCATAGTTAACAAAAGGAGATTCACTTAATCATAGCAGGAAAGGAATATTCAACAAGGATAGGCATTTGAGGACACCTCTAGCTGACTTGGCTGAACAAAGCCCGCGTGCCTGAGCTGCCCCTTGTGATTCACCACCCAAGCATCCTTGTGACTGTTTAGTACATAGGTGACTAGGAAGTGATGTCAACAGCCTGAGCCTTTAGTCCCCTTGCCCAAACAAGTCTCAAGGATGGTTTCAATACTTTTTAAGGAAAAACTAGCCTAACTTGCATAGGGGCAGGAGTTAGGATATTACTCCTACCTGAATACTATTCTATAGAAAAGAGAGTGCAAATGAACTAATTTTCAGCAGAGTAGAGACATGATTGAAGTGATGTTTTAGCAGAGTAGTCTGGAAGCAGTTCATAAGATGATACTAAAGGGGTGGGGGTGGGGGGCAACAGTCATCCTCCTCAAAGTAATAATCCTCAACTAGAATGGTAATGATGGGACTAAAGATGAAGGGACAGATGTGAGACATATTTCATAGGAAGAACAGATAGTCCTTTATGGCTCAGTCTTCCTTCTTCATTTCCTGTATTCAAAGATTACTTTAAGGTTCTAAGCCAGAGTAACTGTGGAAGTGATGGTGCCATTGACAGAGAAAGACAAGTTGAAAGAGACAGCTGTTTAGGATAGAAGTTGGGATTGGAAAACTGATAATGTAAGCAAACTAGGAGAGCAAGGAATAGTTTATCTGTCAAACTTATGGAGAACAGAAGAATTTATGACCAAACAAGAGACAGAGAACATTATGAAATGCAAAATGAATAATTTTGATTACAATAAATTGAAAAGTTTTTGCACAAAGCCAATGCAACCAAGATTAGAAGGGAAGCAGAAATCTGGGAAACGATTTTTGCAACTGGTGTCTCTGATAAACGCATCATTTCTAAAACATATGGAGAACTGAGTCAAATCTGTAAGAATACAAGTCATTCCGAATTGATAAATGGTCAAAGGATATGAACAGGCAACTTTCAGAGGAAGAAATTAAACCTATCTATAGTCATATGAAAAAATGCTCTAAATCACTATTGTTTAGAGAAATGCAAATCAAAACAACTCTGAGGTACCATATTACACCTATCAGATAGATTGGCTAACATGACAAAACAGGAAAATGATAAATGTTGGAGAAGATGTGGGAAAATCAGAACACTAATGCATTGTTGGTGGAGTTGTGAACTGATCTAACCATTTTGGAGAGCAATTTGGAACTGTTCCCAAAGGGCTATGAAACTGTGCATACCCTTTGACCCAGCAATAGCACTTCTAGGTCTGTATCCCAAAAAGAGCATAAAAATGGGAAAAGGACCCACATGGACAAAAATATTTTGTGGTGGCAAAGAATTGGAAATTGAGGGGATGCTCATTAATTGGGGAATGACTGAACAAGTTGTAGTATATGAATGTAATTACTGAACTATCATTCCGTAAGAAATGATGAGGAGGTGGACTTTAGAAAAACTTGGAAAGACTTACATGAACTGATGCCGAATGAAGTGAGCAGAACCAGGAGAATATTGTACATAGTAACAGCAACATTGTGTGATGACTAACTTTGATAGACTTACCTCTTTTTAGCAGTGCAAGGATCTAATACAATTCCAAAAGACACATGTTGAAAAATGATATCCACATCCAGAAGAACTATGGAGTCTGAATGCAGATGGAAGCATACTATTTGCTCTCTTTTTTTTGTTTCTTCTTTCTCATGGTTCCTCCCGTTGGTTCTAATTCTTCTCTACAACATGAATAATGTGAAAATATGTTTAATATGAATATATATGTAGAGTCTATATCAGATTGCATGCCATCTTGGGGTGGATGGAGGGGAGGGAGGGGGAGAAAATTTGGCACTCAAAATCTTATGGAAGTGAATGTTGAAAATTGAAAATAAATAAATATTTTTTTTTAAAAGGAAGTTGGAATTGGAATCCATTAACAAAATATAGGCATTTCACAGCCTTGTTTGTGGTTAGCAATGTTGCATACAGGAGGAACAAAGAAAACAAATGGTGGGAATAATTCAGGGTTGAAGGTAGATGTGAAAAGACGTCAGAAAGATATGAATGTCCTTGTCAGTATTGATGTGATTGACCCTTGATCTAGTTTGGACAAGGCAGTATAACATACTGTTGGGAGTTCATAAACAGTTAAGGAGAAGGTAGCACCTAAAAATGTAGAGAGATTATCCAGGAGAAGAGAGTGGTCAATAGTGTCAAATGCAGCAGAGGGGTCAAGAAGGGTGAGAACTGAGAAGACTTCGCAATTAAGAGACCATTTATCTTTGGAGAGAGCAGTTTCAGTTGAGTTTGACTAAAGTTGAGGTCAGAAATAAAATTACAAAAGTCTGAGGAGTGAGAGGAGGGCATGTGGAAGCCACACATGTAGAAAGGTTTTCAAAGGAGTTTGCCTGGGAAAGAGAAAAGAGATAATAGGATGATAGCTTGAGGGGATGGTACTTTGCAATCTGCTGGGAAAGACCAGAGGGGATGGGAACAAAGGTACATGTAGAGAAGGTTTGCTTTGGCGAGGAGGATTGCTTCACTTTAATAAACAGGAAGAAAAGAGGCAATAGTAATGGGAACATGAACATGTTGTGTAAATGCCTTTTCCCCTGACCCATAATTCATCCCCTGGGAATTTGGGGCTTTCTTTTTTGTTAAAACAAAAATAAAAACAAAAAAAATCTAAAACCTAAGATGGGGCTGGGATAATTTTAATTTGGGGTCATGAATTATAAACTTCTGGTCTCTAACTGTTTAGGATTGAGTGTTTTTTCATTACAAATAATTTTGGTTTGAGTCTAATATAAAAATTTTCAGCATTTAAAGAAAGGCCTTTTTATCATGTCCTTACTAAATTATAGTAGCTTTTAATATAAATAAAAGTTTTTTCTGTATCTATAGGCATTTTATTTTTGTTATTAATATGATTTATTATGCTAATAGATTTTTTATTTTGTTGTTGTAGTCCTTTTGCCAATATTTTATCCAGTTTTTTTGCATCAGTGTTCATTAGTGTTCTCAATATATAATTCTCTTTATCTATTTTATCTCTCTTCAGTTTGGAAATCAAGGTCATGTTTGTCTCATAGGAAAAGTTTGGTATGGTGTGTCTTCTTTCTCTATTTTGAAGACAGGTTTCTTTTGTTCCTGAAATGAATGCTAGAAAAATCATCTGTAAGTTGCTTTGGACCTGCTGTTTTGTTTTTGTTCTTTGTGTTTGTTCAGTTTCCCTCTATGATGTTGAGTTATTTAGATTATCTATTCCCTGTCTTGTTAGTTTTGTTATTTTATATTTTTATAGATACTAATCCACTTCATTTAGGTTTTCAGGTTTGTTGCCACTAGATATAAAAGTACCTAATAAATGTTATATTTCCCCTTCACTTGTGAATTCCCCCTTCTCATGTTTTATTTTGTTAATTTGGTTTTGCTTTCTCTTGTAAAAGCAAAAAGACTTTGTTAGTCTTTTTTGGAGAAAAAAACCAGCTCTTTGTCCTGTTTAATAATTTACGGTTCTAAAAATTTTTTCAGTTTGTTTTACCTTTAATTTTCAAAATCTCTTGTCCTTGTTTGTGATTATATATTTTTTCATTTTCTAGGTTAAAAAAAAAATTCTCAATAGGTTATTCCTGATTGCTGGCAGAACACCATAATCTCGTTATCATTCTCTTTAACGTAATTATTCATGTTTCTATGATTTGGTTTGACTCACCAATTATTTAGAATATCTTTTTTTAGAATCCATTTACCTCTTTGTCTTTTGTTCATTTTCCCCTTATTGACCACAATTTTTTATTATATTTTGACCTATAAAAGATGGGCTTAAGCTTTCTGCTTTTCTGCATTTTTATGAGTTCTATATATACTAATGCATCCACAGTTTTTGTGGAAGTACGGTTGCAGCCTAAGAAATAACACATTCAATGGGGCAGCTAGGTGGCGCAGTGTATGGAGCACTGGTCCTGGATTCAGGAGGGCCTGAGTTCAAATGCGGCCTCAGACACATAACACTTATTAGCTGTGTGACCCTGGGCAAGTCACTTAACCCCATTGCCTAGCCAAAAAAAAAAACCAAAAAACAAACACTCAGAAGTCTCCACAGGTTTCTCTAATATAGTTTTCACAGTGTTTGTTAAGTTTGTAATTTCCTTCTTTATCTTTTTTGTTGAAGTTATCAAGGTCTGGCAGAGAAACATTAAGTTTGCCCATAATTAGTTTACTACTATTAGGCCTTTTAAAATAATAGGTAGCTTTTTCTTTAAGAAATTGATTGCTTTGTCATTTGGTATATACAGTATATATTTGATTATGATATTGTTTAATTATTATCTATGGTGCAAAGCTTTAATCATGAAGTAGTTTTCCTGCTTATTTCTTTTTTTTAAAAAAAAGTAAATTTTCATTGTTATCTTTTGTTTTTACATCACATATATTTCCCACCAAATAAAGTTAGGTAAAACTAACCAGCAGTGTCAAGAGCATAAACGCTTAATAAATGCTTATTGACAGACTGACAGGAATATAATTCCTAGCAATGTATTAATAAAATTATATTTCCATAAAACAATTGAGAGATCCCAGTGAGTCCATGAAATAGTGTTTTGTTCATAACACATAACTGTCAATAAGTTCTAATGGTTTTGGCAAGGACAGCTACCAAATCTTCCTTACCCCAGGCACCAGCGTCCTTCCAGACTCCCAGGTTCATAATCTTGAGATGACTTTCAATTTCTCTCTCACCCCATGTATCTAAATTAGGTGTCACATCTTGCCATTTCTACTTCCACAGCATCTCTTGATCTCTCCTCTCTCCTCCCACAGTTACCACCACAGTTTGATCAATTATTATCTTCCCACCTAGATGATCACAATAGTCTTCTGATTGGTCTCTGTTGGGGCAGGTCTAAAACCAGCACTCTTTCAGTTCACGTTCAATGTTGGGATGAAATAAAGCATTCAAAAGTCATTGAACAGTTAATAAAAAGAACTTGACAGTTCTGGACCAGCACAGACACAGTGAGGTTTAGCTCCTGTATGTGTTGCCCCCTTGTGTCCACATGGAAACAGGTCTGGTCAACTACTTGAGTGTCTTCAGATATCCACCCATCATGGATGGGATTTTTTATGTCCTGAGGGCAGAGAGCATTCAGCCCTCAGGAGTCCTGGCTTCAAGTCTGTCATCACTACAGTCCATCTTACATGTCACCAACCTAGTGATTTTCCTTAAAAAAAAAATCTGACTACATCGCTTTCCTCTCTACCCAGTCAACTCCAGTGGCTTCCTCTTACCTCTACCTGGCACCAACCTGTCTTTCCAAACTCCTTAAACATTGATCCCCTTCTCACATTCTGTGATCCAGCCAAACTGGTATTCTCTCTGTTCCTTACATACCACAGTCCATCCCCTGTCTTTGTGCTTGTTTCACTGACCATCCAATATTCCCGGAATGAATCTTCTCTCACCTTCACCCTACTGATTTCCTCTGAAGGAAGTTGCAAGATGCAGCCCAAGCATCACCTTCTATAAGAAGCCTTTATTGATCTTCCAACAGCTAGGTCCCTTCCTCCCAAACTATCTTATATTTAACTATTTTGTTTTTATTTTCCTCACATTTATTCTGAATACACATATATGTAGATTTATTTATTTAGACATACTTACCTTTTCCATTAGAATGTAAGTTCCTTGTAAGCTGACTGTTTTATTCCTTGCATCCCCAGCACCTCGGCTTTCCTAGACTCATAGTAATTTTGCCTGACGCATAGTAATAAATGCTTGTTGATTGATTGATTGACACTTTTAAAAATATTGCAATTTTTAAAATATTACAATAAGAACGGGGTGTTCTAGAGTCAGTTCAAAGCAGCTCATAATAGCCAATTGTTAAATTTTCAATGTGACTGTTTATACTTTGGAAATCAGCAAATCGTGGCTTGTTTTGTTAATTGTCTATTCTTAAGAAATTGATGGAGAAAATGTTAATAATGCATATTGAACTTAGAAGTGTGTCTTGTGTACTTTTTTCCCCAGAGAGCTAGTTGTTAAACCATCATACCACTGACTAAAAGGAAAGAAAATTGAGGCCAATAGGCAATATTAATGCCAAACTATTGAAGTTAAGGAGGCAACCAGGTCGTCCAGTAGATAGAGCACTGGACCCTTGAGGCCACTTAGGGGATTTTCAGATTTGTTTTTCTTGATGAAAATTTGTTTCATTTTGATTATTCTTTCTCCCTTCAAGCGGTTTCCTTTCTCCTAGAAAAAAAATTAACATTTATTTAAATTTTTTCTTTATTGTTTCAGATTGTGAGAACAGGACTGAAAAGAAGGAATGGAAGCCAAAACAGGAAATTTCTGGAGACACGTCATTTCAAGCAACATCAGAAACAATTTCGAGTCAGATTCCCCAAAGATTTGAGTTGGTGGAAACCAAGGTATGTGAGGATGAGTTAGCGAAGCAAAGTTTAAAAGTTTCAGGGGGTGGACTGAACCAGACCCATTCCCGAAAGAGAAGGTTCAGGCAAGTGAATATCACCCAAAGGAAAAGCCTTATAGGAGAAAGCAACAAGGAATGTAATGAGAGAGAGAGAAAAGTCAAGTGGAGCTCAGACCTTGTTACACATCAGAGAGCTCCTGCCGGGGAGGAATCCCAGAGATGTGAAACATATGATCAGAAGCTGAAAAAAAAGCCAGAACTTACTGAATATAAAAAAACTCGTACTTTAAAGAGAATTCATGAGTGTAATGAATGTGGAAAAGTGTTTAGCCGGGGATCAAATCTTACTATACATCAAAGAATTCATACAGGAAAGAAACCCTATATATGTGATGAATGTGGGAAAGGTTTTAATCAGAGCGCCAATCTCTGTAGACATCAAAAAATTCATACTGGGGAGAATCCTTATGAATGTAATGAATGTGGAAGAGTCTTCAGGGGGAGCTCAAACCTTATCCTGCATCGGAGAATTCATAGTGAAGGGAAACCCTATATTTGTAAAGAATGTGGGAAAGCCTTCAATCAGAGCTCAGATCTCATTATACATCATAGAATTCATACTGGAGAAAAACCCTATGAATGTAATGAGTGTGGGAAAGCCTTTAGTCAGAGTTCACACCTTGTTACACACAAGAGAATTCATACTGGGGAGAAACCCTATGAATGTAGTGAATGTGGAAAAACATTCAGACAGAGTTCACTCCTTCTTCAACACCAAAGGATCCATAGTGGAGAGAAACCTTATGGTTGTCACAAATGTGGGAAAGCCTTTAGTGGACGCACAGTCTTTCTTAAGCATCAGAGACTTCACACTATTGAGGAACATGATGAACAAACCTTCAGTCAGGACACAGACCTTACTGGACAGCAGAGCATTAACAAGGAAGAGAAACTTTATGAATGTAATGAATGTGGAAAAGCGTTCCGTTGTAGCTCAGATCTGATTAGACATCAAATAATTCACACTGGTGAGAAACCTTATGAATGTAATGAATGTGGCAAAGCTTTCAGTCGGAACTCAATCCTTATAGAACATCAAAGAATTCATACAGGAGAAAAGCCTTATAAATGTAGTGAATGTGGGAAAGCTTTCAGGGGGAGCTCACAACTTATTCAACATCAGAGAATTCATAGTGGAAAGAAGCCCTATGAATGCAATGAATGTGGGAAAACATTTAATCAGAGTTCAGACCTAAATAGACATCATAGAATTCATAGTGGAGAGAAGCCCTATGAATGTAATAAATGTGGGAAAGCCTTCAGGTGGAGCTCAGATCTTGGTAGGCATCAGAAAATTCATGTTGGAAAGAACATTTATGAATGTAATCAGTGCAAAAAAGTCTTTAGTCAGAGTTTGGCCTTTACTCAGCATCAGAAAATTCACACTAGAGTGTAATCATGAATATAATTATGAGAAAATGAAAGCTGATTTTTCTTTTGTTAAATACTGGAGAGTTCATTTTATGGTACCATCTCATAGGAAAAAACTAAGATCCTTAAGAGCAGGAGAGATTTTAGTGTGACACATTTTAATCATCAAGAATTCTGTAACTGAGAGACATTCTAGGAATGGTTGAGATAGAAATGTAACATCCTTGCCTAAAAGCTTCTGTGGCATCAGAAAATGGTATAAATTGGGTAGAACAATCTGACTCTCCTTATTTAATGTGCTCACCAAAGCAGGTAGCAAGTCCAGTAGCCCCCCTGCCCCTTCAAATTATTGAGGTCTCCACAGCAACAATACTAGAAGACAAGTTAAGTAGGTTGAATGTGGAGATATAGTCTTCTGGAAAAAAAAGTTGGATCTAGTACTAGAAGATCTGGTAAGAAAGAGACAACCTCTCAGCCTCAGTTTTCTCATCTGTAAAATCATAGTGCCTACCTCACAGGGCTGTTGTGAGGATTGGTGACATAATACATTAAAAGTCCTTTGCAAAACTTGAAAGTACTATATGAGTATTAACGTAATTTCAACCCTAGAGCACCTTTAATTCTATTTTTCCCTTTTTGAATTCTGAATTCAAATTCAGAAATTTTATACGTTAAAAATAGCATTTCCATATACACAACAAAACATAAAAAGATTATTTGTAAAACCATGAATTTCCATTTCATACCACTTGTTATTTATATTACCAAAAAAGTTATAATAAATTCCACATGTTATTTTCATACTTTGCACCCAACCCCTTAAATCAGCCTGTGTTATCAGATAAACCTTCCCGGAGGTTGGGTCCAAGAAACTGCTGAACTGGAGAATCTTCCCCCTTCCTTGAGTGGCTTTGACTCATTGAGCACACGGCTTTGGGGAGGCAGGACACCCAACCATGATAGTTGTGGGTATGATGATGAAGCAGTTATTTCAAGAACCTGTCCTAGCATTCAAAGATGCCAGCTACCTGAGGCTGATATAACAGGTGGAAAACCTAGTAAACGTGATGACAGTGAGTCCCATCTTGGATCTTCTTGGATAAGAGTACCCTGATCAGAAAGGAGAGAGAGCACAAGGAAGAAGGATAAGTTTTATGAGAAGACTATGGTGGCAGATTTGGCAGGCATAGTAATGCCATATCCTGAATAGGTGTCAACCATAATAAGGGTTGATAACTCCAAGATAGTGGAATAGGACCAACATAATCAATTTGCCCATTAGAGGCAAGTCAGCAACTATACAGAATTATGCCATACTTGCTGGTGGACACCATTAGGCGGAAGTACCAACTTCATGCTTAGTTAGGGGGATTATATGGTAATGCAACATGGCATCATGGCCTGCATAATGGGTAATAGATCCACTCCTCAACCTCTGCTTTTCTCATAATGAAGTCAGTCTTACTCAGTTCAGCAGGGGGTAAATGATGTTTGATGGGTACTGATAAGTCCCATAATCAAAGATATGGGGGCCATCAGCAAAATCCCTTCATTGGTCCTGATTCCAAACGGGCAGTTGATTGTCCAGTCCTATTTACTCCAAGCTCTAGACCATTCAGCTAGGCTGGTGGCCAAATTCTAAGAATCAGTGCAGATGAAGATAATGTCATCCCAGTGCCTTAAGGCTTTTTACATGCAATTATGCTGGGAGCCCAGCTCACTGGGGAGATGTGGTTTTGTTTGAATGGTTTTTTGGAAATAACTATTCAATGTCTGGGGCAGCCAGTTGGTGGGCACAGTGAATCGAGTGCCAGGCCTGGAGTCACGAAAACTCATCTTCCTAAGTTCAGATCTGGCCTCAGACACTTATTAGGTGTGTTACCCTGGGCAAATCATTTAACCCAGTTTGCCTCAGTTTCCTCATCTGTCAAATGAACTGGGGAAGGAAATGGCAAATCACTCCAGTATCTTTGCCAAGAAGACCCTAAGTGGGGTCATGAAGAGTCAGACATGACTGAAATGACTGAGTAACAACAGCAAATGCAGCCTCTAGACCTGCAGTCCTCAGTCCTACAGACTGAGCTAGCCATTGAGGGGTATGGCATGAGGAACCCCAATAGTGTGAGAATGCAAACCAAGGCAGATTCCCTCAGATTTTAGCACTAACAACTGTACTGAAAAAGTACTTGAGCTTTGTTTGTGTCTTAACTTGAAATTTGTGAGACCAACTACAATTTTGCCACATAGATTTTATTGTGATTCTTTGGTGCAAGCCGTTGGGGAGTAACTGGGAAGGCCGACAGAGGCTTTGCACAAAGGCAGATTCTATATCAGTGTTCACTAAATGGGGGAGGGGGAAGGTCACAAAGTTCTCAATGTCAGGAAAAATGGTCTCTTACCATACCAACAGAGCTACATTTAGATGCATTCTCCAGCAAGCAATACCAATTCATTTACATCCAAAAGGAAGGAGAATGGCACTGGGAGTTACAAAAATCCTAGATAGCAAATATATCCATGCACATATTTAAGAGAGAAAGAGAGAGAGAGAGAATAAAGCAACCAGAAAACAGTCACCATGGAATACGCTGTAGAACACACAGTTTGGCTCCAACTAATCCCTGAATGCTGTCTTGCCTCTGTGTCTGTCTTTGAAATTATACAAAAAGCAATTTGGAATTATGCAAAGTGCATGCCCTTTCATTCAGAGATTCCACTGCCAGGCAAGGAATCATCCAAGGAGGTCACTGACCACAATATCAAAATATTTATAGCAGCATTTTTAAACCTGTGCACCCATCCTTCTCCAAGACCTCCAGAAAGTGGCTTGAGTAGAAGAAATAGGTGTAGTTATCCAGTTCCCAGAGTCCTCAAGTTTCTATTCCATTTTGCCCTTAAAGAGATTTTTTTGCTACAAGTTTCATGGACTAGGGGAGGAAAAGAGATTGCTGGTAGAACTTCATTCAGCTGATACTGAATTGGGTGGAGTAGCAAGAACTGAGATCGCTCTAGAACACTGTGGGGCTTAGAACAGCGTAAAGGCAAAGCAGGCAAGAAGTGGAGCTGATGCAAACCAAAGGAACATTCAAGACTGACTATATGAAGGGGAGTATGCCAGGCTGGGTCACAGCCCTGTGAAATAAAGCTGATTTGACTCCATCATTTTCTTCCCATTACTTTCTCGCCCCAACTAGACACTTGCTGGGCAAATCTCAAGAGTTCTTAAACTTGCTGTATCCTTTCCTTTTTGTCCTCCCTGTCCTGTTTGCTGGCTGGGAGTGGGGAGTGAGTGTGAGGAAAGGAAGTCAGTCCAAGCTGCAGTGAATCCTTCAGTTTGCTATTTGAAAGTTTTCTTATACTTTGCTATATATATTGGGTTTTTCTGTATCTCTGTTTCAATAAATTACATGGCCTTAACCATAACCCTAACCCTAGATTAGAATTAAGAATTGAGATTAAGAATGAACTGTCCTGGGGCAACTAGGTGGTGCAGTGGATAGAGCACCGGCCCTGAAGTCAGGAGGACCTGAGTTCAAATCCGGCCTCAGACCAAACACTTGACACTTACTAGCTGTGTGACCCTGGGCAAGTCACTTAACCCCAACTGCCTTAAAAAAAAAAAAAAGAATGAACTGTCCAGTATATAAAACCAAAAACCATTGCCTAATAGAGAAATGGTCAAAGGATACGACCAAATTAATCAATAAATATTAATTTAGCACCTACTATTGTGCTAAGCACAGCTCTGAAAAGGAGAATTGCAAACTATTGACAACCATATGAAAGAATACTTTAAATCACTGTTCTGTAATAAGGAAAAGGCAAATCAATATGAAAAAATGCTCCAAATAATAGAAATATAAATCAAAGAAACCCTGAGGCTTTACCTCACAACCAGAAAATTTACAAAGATGGACATAAGATGGGAATAGTAAATGTTGAAGAGGTTATAGAAAGGAACACCAATTTATTGTTGGAGGACTTGTGAATAGGAACAACCAGTTGGAAAAGCAATTTTAAATTATGGAAAGTGACTAAAACATCTTATGTCCTTTCATCCAGAGATTCCACTGCTAGGCATATACCCCATGAAGGTCACTGACAAAAAGGAATACTCCACAGACACCAAAATATTTATAGCAGCATTTTTTTGTGTGTGTGTGTGTCTGTGTGTGTGTGTGTGTGTGTCTATGTGTGGTGTAGTAGCAGTAGTAGTAGTAGTAGTAGTAGTAGTAGTAGCAGTAGTAGTAGCAGCAGCAGCAGCAACAGAGAAACAAAGGAGATGCCTGTTAGAGAGTGACTAAACAGATTGTGGTACACGAGTGTAATGGAATATTATTGTGCTGCATAAGAAACAACAAATGTGATGAAAACAGAGAGGAAAGACTTGCATGAACTGATGTGAAATGAAACTAGTAGAGGCAAGAAAGCAATATACACTTTCACTACAACAATAAAATGAAAAGAACAACCACCATAAAACAACTGAATCTAAAGAGGCAACTAGGCAGTGTGGTGCATAAAGTGATTTTTAGGATGACCTGAGTTCAAATCCAGCTTCAGATACTTATTAGTTGTGTGATCCCAGGCAAGTCACTTAACCTCTGTCTGCCTGTTTCCTCATCTGTAAAGTGGAGATGATAGTGGCACATATTTCCCAGGGTTGTCATGAGAATAAAATGAGACATTTGTAAAGTGCTTTGCAAACCTGAAAGCATCATTTAAATGCTAGTTATTATTATTATTATTGCAAAATTACAAAGAACAAGCTTGGCCCCAAAAAATAAATATGAAAAGACACTTTCCCTAACTTCTTTGCAAAGGTGGACATTGGTCCACAGATTTAAAATATTGTATATAACATCAGATTTTTTCTATAGGTTGGTTGAATTTCCTGGTTTTTTTCTTCTTCCCTTTTGTCTTGTTAAACAATTATTATAAGCAATATAAGCAAGTAATAGGCATGGCTTACATAATATTGTTACAACATAACAATACAATATTATTATTACAATATGTAATAATCAAGGCTTGCTGAAAGGGGGAAGGACGGGGAAATTTAGGTGATATAAAAACAAAAGATATCAACAAAAAATCTTTTAAAAGAATGAATCAGAGAGGATTCTGGAAGATGGCAGAATAGGTCAGAACATTTTGTCTCTCCAAATTTCCTCCACAGAAAAAGACAGAACATTGCCTCAGAGGGAACACAGAACAACAGAAATAAACAAAAGTCAGGGTAAAGCAGTTGTTCCAAGACAACCTAAGAAGACCTCAGGAAGGACCTGACCTCCAGGGGCAGAGGTTCTGCCTGAATGAAGTGCAAACACCTCCAGGCCAACTCCTTGGAACCACAAACAACAAGCCCTGGGGGCAGCTAGGGTTGAGAGGCAGCCTCAGCCTTAGAAATTTTCATCTCGTGGACAGTGTGGGAATCTGACAGTTGGGTAGAATATTAAAGGCCTCTCCACTGTTGAGGGATGTCCCTGGCTTGGCTGCCAGAGAGAAGGAGCTAGCACACACCTAGTGAGTGCAGTAGCAGAGGGGCAGGG